ATAAGTGGTGTCTTCAAGATTTATATTAAGGTGGTATCCTTCAGAGGTGCTGAAATTGAGGTCTAATCTGAGACTTGTAGGATTACAGGAAGAAGAGACATGCCAGAAATAATAGAATGACACAGGCAGACAAATCAGACTTTGGTTTCAAATGTGAGCTGCTTTTCAAAATCACAAGGGCATACACTGATTTTCAGGTTCAGATTTCTAATGAAGATGCTTTTTAGTTGGGCAGCTCTGCACCCAGGATGAAAATCATCAGGGATTTATTTGTCTAATGATGGTAAGTCAAAGAGAAATATTACAATAACTTTTTTTTTAACATCTTTATTGGAGTATAACTGCTTTACAATGGTGTGTTAGTTTCTGCTGTATTACAAAGTGAATCAGTTATATGTATGCATATATCCCCATATCCCCTCTCTCTTGCACCTCCCTCCCACCCTTCCTATCCCACTCCTCTAGGTGGTCACAAAGCACCAAGCTGATCTCCCTGTGCTATATGGCTGCTTCCCACTAGCTACCTGTTTTACATTTGGTAGTGTATGTATGTCAATGCTACTCTCTCACTTCAGCCCAGCTTACCCTTCCCCCTCCCCATATCCTCAAGTCCATTCTCTACATCTGCATCTTTATTCCTGTTCTGCCCCTAGGTTCATCAGAATATTATTTTTAGATTCCATATATATATATGTGTGTTAGCATATGGTACTTGTTTTTCTCTTTCTGACTTACTTCACTCTGTATGACAGACTCCAGGTCCATCCAGCTCACTACAAATAACTCAATTTCATTTCTTTTTATGACTGAGTAATATTCCATTGTATATATGTACCACATCTTCTTTATCCATTCAACTGTCAGTGGACAGTTAGGTTGCTTCCATGTCTTGGCTATTGTAAATAGTGCTGCAGTGAACATTGTGGTACATACCTCTTTTTCAGTTATGGTTTTCTTAGGGTATATGCCCATTAGTGGGATTGCTGCATCATGTGGAAGTTCTATTTTTAGTTTTTTTTAAGTAACCTCCATACTGTTCTCCATAGTGACTGTATCAATTTACATTCCCACCAACAGTGCAAGAGGGTTCCCTTTTCTCCACACCCTCTCCAGCATTTATTGTTTCTAGATTTTTTGATGATGGCCATTTTGACTGGTGTGAGGTGATACCTCATTGTGGTTTTGATTTGCATTTCTCTAATGATTAGTGATGTTGAGCATCCTTTCATGTATTTGTTGGCAATCTGTATATCTTCTTTGGACACATGTCTGTTTAGGTCTTCTACCAATTTTTGGATTGGGTTGTTTGTTTTTTCGATACTGAGTTGCATGAGCTGCTTGTATATTTTGGAGATTAATCCTTTGTCAGTTGTTTCGTTTGCAAATATTTTCTCCCATTCTGAGGGTCGTCTTTTCATCTTGTTTATGGTTTCCTTTGCTGTGCAAAAGCTTTTAAGTTTCATTAGGTCCCATTTGTTTATTTTTATTTCCATTTTTCTAGGAGGTACCATGTCCTTGGATTGGAAGAATCAACATTGTGAAAATGACTATACTACCCAAAGCAATCTACAGAGTCAATGCAATCTCTATCAAATTACCAATAGCATTTTTCACAGAACTAGAACAAAAAATTTCACAATTTGTATGGAAACACAAAAGACCCCGAATAGCCAAAACAACCTTGAGAAAGAAAAACAGAGCTGGAGGAATCAGGCTCTCTGCCTTTAGACTATACTGCAAAGATACAATAATCAAGACAGTATGGTACTGGCACAAAAACAGAAATATAGGTCAATGGAACAAGATAGAAAGCCCAAAGATAAACCCACACACATATGGTCACCTTATCTTCAGCAAACAAGGCAAGAATATACAATGGAGAAAAGACAGTCTCTTCAATAAGTGGTGCTGGGAAAACTGGACAGCTACATGTAAAAAAATGAAATTAGAACACTTCCTAACACCATACACAAACATAAACTCAAAATGGATTAAAGACCTAAATGTAAGGCCAGACACTATAAAACTCTTAGAAGAAAACATAGGCAGAACACTCTATGACATAAATCACAACAATAACCTTCTTGAAGGCTACAAAACCCTTTGTAAGACCACTTTTGACCAGTAACCAATGGAATTTTGCATAACGTTTTATTATAAAGAGATTATGGTAGGTCAGTCTCCCAGAGGAAAACAAAATGAAAGGAATGAAATGAAAAGAAATGAAAAATTCTTTTCCTGTAAGTAACTGAATTCATACAGAAGCATTCTGGCTCTGACACTATATAGCACACGATGCATATCCTTAGAACAGGAATGTCCCAGTATTAGGGGGATTAAGTTCAGCCCACATGAGACCATTTCATACTTTGAACAAGTTATTTTCAAAGTGAGAATGATATGTATACATAAATTGCTTAACAATGACTGTGGGAGAACTAGGCTCATTAGCAAAAACAATTTTGTACAAATGATCAAACATCAGTTTTTGACACATTTGCTTGGTTATCATTCATAATATTCATCCATTCATTCATAATGTTCAAGCTTGAGGACAATTGAATTACTGTAAAATTTAGTGAACAAAATAATCAACATGTATATTCCCAAATTTATTCTACACTGAGAACTGTCATCATTTTTATCATTTTAGTTAAGAATCTGAAATTAATACACTTGTGTTTAATTGGACATGTTGAAAAATAATTTCAGCTCTTAACATGGAATTACTCTCACTTTTCAAATATAATTACTTAGTCAATGGATGTTACTCTTCTGTGAAGCATTTTAGTAGTAAGTACAGTCATTCCTTTATTATTATGTAACATACTATATGTGTTTTTCACTTTTTTTTCTACTTCTGAAGCACTCTACCTCCTTTTTCATAGAAAGTTATTTAAGAAATAAAGACAACTATTTATTCTCTTCATTTTATTAATTTGTACTTTAGTGTTTCATTGTGACTGGCTCTCCTCTACACTGCCTTTCAAGTTTGCATAGGCCCAGTGATGGCAGTGAGGGTAGATGCTAATGAGGTAACTAATCTCTCAAAAGGATTGAGGAGAAGGACTGATTTTTATTTCTATTTCTAATGCTCCCAAAAGTAAAATTATTTTTATTTGTTGATATATAATGTAGTAAGTCTATATACTAGAAGAAACACACTATGAAATGGTCCTCTAATTCACACCCTAATCCAAGTGATCTTTTTATTATTTTGGATGCCAAGAATTTCACCTGTTTTAAACCTATTCAGTTACAAACAAAAAAAAAAATTCCCTACAAGTTTCACTTTTGTGTTGTAACACTTGAAAAATGAGTGACTGGAGCTCAGCACAGAAACCCTTTAGCCTGCTAGATGAACCCAAGAGAGGCGAGAAAACAAATAGAAGTGAGAAAGATTTAAAGTATTCAGTTTTATCACTTCTCTAGAGGAGTGGCCCACAGATGCTGGAGTAGGTCAACAAAGAAGTGCTTTGGTGCTTTCTGGCCAGTTATACATGATAAATGCTCTACAAAAAATGTTAAGTTCTTTGTGGATGAGGCATTTGTTGTATCATGTTAAGTGTAAGGTCTCTTTCTTGAAAATTCTCTCTTCTGTGCTTCCCTCTCAATCTGTTTTAAACAATAGAATTATTCTAAACAAGTTTACAATTTTGTAAGTATAATTTACCAATCCAAATGTACAGACTGAGTCATAAAATTGGGAGGGGGAATGGTCCTGTTATTTCCCTTCACTGTCCTCTTCACCATCTGGTATATTACGTATATGCTTGCCTCATTTAATTGTTTACTGTCTGTCTCACCACATTAAAATGAACCCTCACTGAGTTTAGGGTTTTTATATGTCTCATATATGGCAGTTACATAGCCGGTACTTAATAAACATTTGTTCAAGGACTAAACAAAGAGATAAATTAATCAGATAAAAGAAACAATGTTACTGAATGAGAAGGAAGGAAAATACACTCATGTTCTATGTGGCACACTTATCCTGTAAAAAAAAAATCTGGTTGATGTAATAAAACAATTTTAAGTTTTAATGTATATGGAATTGAGTATTTTTAGAAATATTTGATTTGCAAAACACCATTTATATATAATAGTAAAAAGGTAAATCCAATACTGTGTATATTTATTTATTGATGGATTTTTGTCTTTACCTACTGTTAAATCCTTGGGATTTTAAATTGACTATCAACAAATACAAAAAGATTTGAAATGATTTGAAACCAAATTTTAAGTATTTATTTTTATTTAAATGTTAGAAAAATTGTCCTCTAATTGAATATTAAAATTTACACTGAGAAATATAAACTCAGCACATTGAATTTTTCAAGTAAAAATTTATGAGCATCTTCCACACACTAAATTGAAATATTTTCTTTAAAAATGAACAGAAAATACAACTTTTTGGAAAAAGATCAGAAGTTAAATTATGTCACTAATAAGTATCCGTTTTGCATGATGAATTTTACTTCAAGCCCTAGAATGTATAAGAATCAGAGGAATAGGAGATTTTGAACCCACTGACTATAATAAATCTCAGGTTACTCACTTCTCAATGCATGCTTGATTTAGTGGAATAAGGGAAATGAATTGAGGGCGCCTGAAGAAGATCTGATATATGCGAGTGGATCCCTTGTGTTATTCAAGGAAAAAAGCAAAATCGCAAGTCCTCCGTGATATTGGCAGGAGTAGAAGACATCAAGTAAAATCCTTCAGTTCAAGTATATTTTTTGTATGAGAAAAATCCATTGTTTCTATGAAATCTGTAAATATTATTTTATAATTAGGTGAAAATAGCCTATAAAAACACATTCAGAATCAAACCTCAATAATTGCTATTTACTCATTTGAGTTTCCAATCCTTGCTTAGTTTCATTCTTCTAGCACTAATCTTACCTGAGATCTTCAGAATTGGTAGTAGGAATTTGCAAGATGATTAATACTGCTTGGGTATAGCTTGTTAATCTATGTGTGGCCATCTTAAATTTTCAACAAATGTTTCTGGTTTTCTTCCTACACATGCACCTCACCCTGCTTCTAGATACCTTGTAAAATCGTACCCCACATCCTCTTGTGTTTGGGTGAACATATGTGATTATTCTGGCTAATGAGTTAAGACACAGGCCACTTCCAGGTCTTTTAATTGCTGAAATGGTATCCTCCTGAGATTCTTTTCTTATTTTGCATGATGAAAAAGTATCATGATGTTGGCTGTGCTGTTGCCAAGGGTTTCTGGGTGATTACACTGACCCCGAACTTAAACCCCCGCCATCAAAATGTGACGGATATGTAATATGAGTGAGAAATAAAACTGTTATTTTAAGTCATTAAAGTTTGGGTGGTTGTCTGTTATGCAACATATCTTAGATTTTCCTAAGTATAAAATTTTCCAGAATCAATACTTGGGTGCTCCTGTGGTCATTCCCAGGCATGTGTAGAGTAGCTAACAATTTGAATCACCTGATGCACACTTCCAGCTGAGGTCAAGCAAAGGGTTTCATATCATAACAAATGTCCTTTACAGTCTATTTAGTACTGTGTGTTTTGTTTTTTTATTTCTCTGCTTTTTGTTGGCGATTCTGCACAAGTCTCTCTCTAAGCTTCCATATTTAGAGTTTCCTAACTCTGCATCTTCCCAACATCTCACCCCAGATGAAGCCCAGACTAACTAGTTCAGTGAGACCACAACCAGATGCACTGAGATGGCCTATTTCTTCACTCTCAAAATCCAGATATTGAGAAATTGGGACATACTTCCATGTGTACATGGATGTTGGGGTGGGAGATAAGGAGGTAGAACTCCAACTTTGGTAAAAATATATTCCTGTTGAAACTAACAAATCAAGTCCATTTTATACAGCTTGGTTAGGTTCTAGAATTAATGTTTATTGCCAATTAAGTAGGCATGATAGAGGTTGTCCTAACCTATCATTTTTAATATTGTCTCTATGGGAAAATGTATATCAAGTTCCAAACCGTTGATTCACAAATTAACTTCTGGAGCACTACCAGCTTTTAAAATGTGGCTTCCTGCAAGGCAAAATGAGTAAGGCATAGAAACAAAGAGATAATACCCAGGTTTCCTATCTTCTGTGTACAAGGATGGTAGCTTAATAGTGATAAGACTATCTGCCTGAGCAGCCTATAAAATATGTATTTACTGAGCATTCACTATTGAGGTTAAAATTTCTGTCAATTTCTGCTATATAATTCACAACCATGTGGGAGGAATTTAGCCCTAGAAATGAAGAAAAAGTGACAGAATACATGCTGTCACGATCCCGTCCACAGTACATCAGCATATTTGTAATCCAAAGGTCTGTGCCCTGACAATTACTTCCAGTAGATTGGTACTGTAGCAGATGCGGAATCACTGATAGACTGAACTCACTACCTCTTTAGTGTACTTTTTTCTCACACTGACATTTGATTGTTATGTTATAGTGAATATTCATTATTTTGCATAAATCTGCCTGATTGTGCTACTGGGTCAACATGATAATCCTCAATTACAAAAAGGGAAGAATACCAAGGGTAAGGTTGGGGTTTCTATTAAAAGACCAAGTGTACATTTGATATGCACTATACATTTAGGCCAAAGAGTTTAATATTTGGCTATTCATCTTCCTTGGTATGAAATTTCTGCCACTGTGCAGGACTTCCAGAAATGAGAGGAATTAGGAGCTACAGTTCTCATTAAAATATACTTAGTTTAAGCCAGGCAATACTAGCATATTTACAGAATAGAAGCAACCCTGAAAAATAATTGTGTCTATTACAGGTTGTAAAGAAAAGCCAGGACTCCACTGTCCACTGAACATGCTAATTGAATCCAACCTTACAAAAAGATGAAGCAAACAATGTTTTCTCTAATTGCAAAGGTCTCTAGCTGGGTACATATTCCTATTTATCACTTCACACTTGGATAATTCGTGGTGTTTCATACAGATCCTCCTTCTTAGGAAAAGATTCTTAATTCGCAAAATAAGCCCATTGCTTTTTTTATTGATGCCTCAGAGCGTTTTGGCATGAACCCTTGGGGAACAAAGTTTCAATTTATTTCAAGGGGATTTTTTAAAATTCTAGGTTATGGATAACCTCCTCAAATAAGTTTCAGAGCCAGTGATTACTACACAAGTACTTTCCCAGATTAAACACCAGTTGGAAGAAGTATACCCCTTTTATGCTGACAGTCACTTTCTATGAGTTGTCTCTGGTAACAGAAGTTTAGATGAATAAATTGCTACTATTAAGAGTTAAAGTTGGAGGATGGGCATCCCACACTAGAAGTTATACAGGCTGTAAGCAAACAATTACTAAGTTATGAATACGGCCAAAATGTACTGTATTTTTTATTAGACCAATAAAAATATTCTCAATTTCCATTTTGGTGTATTGGAGTATCTAGGAAGAAATATAGGAGTTCTGAGTCACTGGGAGGGGCAGAGCTTCGAGAAAATACCAGTAAGCCCACTGCAGAAGACTTAGGAGCAAAACCAGTGAAGTAGTCCATGTTGATGAAGATCAAGAACATCCTTCATCAATAGAGTGACCACAGTTATTGGGACTCATGAGGCAGACATGCTCGATTAATTCCATGACTGGCTCCCTGGGACAGCAAGTAAGGTAGTACAGTGGTGCTTCTGGGGATTTTAAGAGTGTGAATATCATTCTGGAAATTTTACTTATCATTATCTGATGATTAAAAGACATGTTATCAGTTACCTTTCTTTTTTCTCAATTAAACTTCCACCTAAAAGGCCATGATCAGAATATGAGTGAAGAGGCATAGCTCTAATATAACATGCATTTCTTAGATATATGAATGAGAGTATGAGCCCAAAGAGTATAATACATCTCCAAAGAAGATAACTGGGTATCTTGTTTGTATCTTATTTCTAATAGTAAACATCTGGGAAATGTTATAATTAGGTCTTTATTAGGAATGTATAAGGATTAATACATTTTAAAATTGAGATTAAAAAGACAATGAGTGCTTCTGTTTTGTATATTTTAGCCCTGGAAGATAATTTTATGTGGCATCTAGAACATAAAATAATATCAGACTTACATAGATTTAAAAGCCTGGAAGTAGTTTACATGCTTATATTCAGGAAGCATGCTGGTGTGCCCAGGCATGTAAGTGAAGTTAACTATACAGCACGTAACTTAAACTTATAACACAGATATAAGCAAGTAATATAAAATTTCTCTAGAGTCATATGAAGTCAGTTATAAGCTACAACATTTTTTCCAGCTAATCAACTTGCTGGTTGACCTTTAGAAAGTTGTGATATGTTCAGAACTTGAGTTTAGCATACGTGAAAAAAACAGCCAAATAAGCTTTATATTGTTACACTATTTTGCTATCCAGGACCTACAATATAAATCATAAGGATAGGAAAATGATGTTTGGGAAGTACTGAGTAAATTCTGTGGATGAATCAATAGTTTCCTTTAGATTCATATCTCAGTTATATGTAAACACGTATCTATACAACAGAAACACATTCTGAGATGTACATACAGGTATGAATATTTCATGCCTTGTACTATAATTCTAAATGGCATATAATTAAAGATGATATGTCATGTTCTATCATAATATGGTAGAAGAATCATTATCCAGAAAAGACTCTGCTTTGGTTTAGATACCTCTCTTTTGTCAACATTGCTATACGCATCACCTTTGGAGCCTTAGCTTTTTCTAACTTACAACACTTACCAGTTTTCCTCTAGTTTAAATAGGTTTCTTTTGTATCATTTTCTGCAGTTACTCAAAGATCACTAAAATATAGTGACTTCGGGGATTAACATGCAACAAATTAGGACAAAAATCATTTTTAAATGGAATTTATATTTCTATTCCAATACACGCAAAGCAAGAGTGCCACTTCAGAATGTAGAAACTTCAATAAAATGCCTTAACTCTTTAATAGATATTTATTGTGCACCTACTATAAGCCAAGCACTGTTCTACACTGTTGGGATATATTGGTGGAAACAACAAACACAATACCTGCCTTTACAGAGTTTATGATCCTAGCAACAGGACCTAGACAATACAAATACATATAATAAGTAAAATATTTAGTATGTTAGAAGCTTATAAATGTTGAGAAAAACTTACACAGGTAAGTGGAATAGGGAATATAAGTGGTAAAAGGAAGATGTGATTTTAAATCGGGAGATTAGTGTCAGCCTGAATAAGAAAGTAACATCTAAGCCTAAACATGAGGAAATTGATGCTGTTAGCTACATGGCCATCTACAAGGGGCACATTCCAGTGCAAAGCTCTACAGTATTAGAGTGCTAATGTGTTCAACTAATGGAAAGGAGGTCAGTGCACCTGTTAAGACCTGGGCTAGAGAAAAAGTTGGAGATGATGTCAGCAAAAGTAACAGGGGCCTAAACTACATAAAATCCTATAGGAATGAGAGGACTTTAGCCTGTGCTAAGAGTGAAATGGAGACACAAACTGGATTTTGAACAGACAAGCAATAACACGAACACTCACTTCTATAAAGGATAACTCTGGTTATTGTGTTGAGGAGAGTAAAATGAGGGAAACCACTTGAAAGCCTATTGCAATAATCCAACTGAAAGGTGATTATTATTTGGACCTTGCTGGTAACAATGAAAATAGTAAAAATTGATCAGAATCTGGATATATTTTCAGAAACTTTATGATGGATTAATCACGAGATGAGAATGACAGGAGTTAAATATGACCCCAAGGTTTGGAGACTGAGCGTACAAAAGGATGGAATTGTCATCAAATGAAATGGAGACAATTCTACATGTAGCAGGTTTGGTGGGAATACTGAGAGTGCAGGTTGGGCATGTTAAGTTTGAGGCACTTATTAGATATAAACATAGATATGCTGAGTACTCAGTTGTTCAAGAGTGGAGGTCAGGAAAGAGGTATGAGCTGGAGATAGAAATTTTGGAGTCACCTGAAGTAGATGATAACACCAGGAGCATGAGACATTTTAAATAACTCAAGAGTACAAAGACTGACAATCCTGGGGCACTTTAACATTAAGAAGTGGTAGAAAACAAGAGGCATCAGAACACCAGAGTGACAAGTGAAATAGTATATACACATAAATGCCAAGTAAAGAAAAATTTTAAAGTTATGACTAATTCTGCCAAATGTTTCTTGTAGAGCTGAAAATTGACCACGGATGTGTGAAAAACAAGATGGACTTAGTGGAGTGATAGGGATGAAAGCCTGATTGTTCAGGGTGTAAAAGAGAACAAAAGGTGAAAACTAAGAACAGTTGATTGGTTTTGCAGAAAATGGAACAGAGACATGGGAAGGCAATTGATGGGCAAAGTTTGGTCAAGAGAACATTTTACAGTTGACTCATGAACAACACAGAGGTTAGTGGGCACTGACCCCCATGCAGTCGAAAATCCATGAATAACTTTATACTCATCCCTCTGTATCCAATGTTCCACATTCCTGGATTCAAATAACTGCGGATCATGTGGTATTGTAGTATGTATTTATTGAAAAACATCTGCATGTAAGTGGACCCACAGAGTTAAAACCCATGCTGTCCAAGTGTCAACTGTACTTTCTATTTTTTGTTTAGGAAAAATAACTGCATATTTGTACACTGTTCAGATGATTTGATGGCAGGGAAATATTGATGACGTACAAGAGACTGTGTAAAGAATGTCTGGAGAAATATTTTATTGGTGGTGAGAGGAAAAAATTCTAGAGTAAAAATGGAAAGATATTGCCTAATATCCTATAAATAAGGTGTTGGAGAAGTATTATAGACTCTCCTCTTTTTACCCCAAGAAAAGTAATCTCCACAGAATTTTTGCTTGAAAAGCTCTCTTCCAACTTATTTCATCTACCAGGCATCTTGTCTATCATTCTTAAACCTAAGACTCTATCAACAAAGGTTAATGTGAATCTTGGGGGAATATTAAGCTATGCTCCAGAAAGGCCAAAACTAAGGCAGCAAGAAGTGAGTAGGATTTATAGGCTAGCTCTGGTCAGTGAGCCTCACTAATCAACTTCCATAATTGACTCCTGTACCCACAAACACAGGCAGAAACACACACACGTGCACTGGCACTGGGGTTAACTGAAAGAGACATTTCTTAGAAGGAAAGGTAACAGCTGTAAACAAATTTCTGGAAAAATAAAAATCTTAAAGTTGATACTTGAATAAATAAGACTCTGAATAGACTTAAGTGTTATCTTAAGATAAGACTTAGAGAAGGTTTCGTGGCCAAAGGCAACCATTTTGCAGTCTCAGTTCCAAGCAGTTAGTAGCAGTTAATACAGCAGTGAGTGGGATGGGTACAGAGGTTGGCAAAAGGGATCCAAGCAGATCTCAAAGTGGCACAAAAAGTATGTTCTACAAAAACTAACTATTAAGGATTCCGAAATGGGTGTACATGTATGTGTGTACACAAAGTCATTGAAAATAATCTTATTGCCAATAAAACAAAGATTTGAAAATTCAAAAGAAAAGCCTAATATTAACTAACCTAATTCAATAAAATATTCAAATGGAATTCATTCTAGATGTAAAGATGATATTCAGTATATCTGTTAAAATAATTCATATTAATGAAAAATTGAAATATTGGCATTAATTTATCAATAGAGGCAGAACAGAATTTGATGAAATTAACTTTCAAGTATAATACAAATTCTCAGTAAACTAGACATAGAAAAGGCCAATCTCAATTTCAGAATCAACAGTAAAATTAATTCTACATATGTTTTAGAGGAATTTCCTTTATGTTAGATATGCAAGACATTGCTAAAGGCTCTTTATCAATGCTATCGTGCAACATGGTGCTGGTGATCATATAAATGAAAGATAAACAGGTAAATGTGTAAAGGAAAGGTAAGAAATTTTTTTGTTGTTGCATGTGATATGGACTCTCACATAAAATGCAACAGAATCAAGTAACAGAATAGTCTAGCATATTTGCTGTGTAAAATATTAACTTTGAAAAAAAATCAAAATTATTCCCCCTTATTGCTAACACAACTACTGAACTAGAATACATAATAAGGGGTGGGGGGGGAACGAGACAAAAAAACAATATTGTATCTCAGAATCAGATTAACAAATAATGCACAGGACCATTCATTACTTTTAGTTTTGTTTCTTAAATACTCATGCAGGTATATAAACATGATGTGCACAAAGCAGATCCATGCATCTAGAAACTTGGCATATGATTAATATGCCAATAAAAATCTATTAATAAGGAAGTGATGAACTTATAAGTTTCATGCTTAGTCTCCTTGGTTTTGCCAGTCCACAGCATACCACATGATATCACCCTGCCAGCATTCACATCTCTGAGAGCTTTCTGTGAGAGCCAGACTTCACTCTGTCTGTCTGTAGGGTAATCCCAAAGTGGCCAAGAATCCAACTCTCCCTCAGTGAGAAATAACCACTAGGGTCGTGTTTCACACTAGCTCCCATGTTTCCACAATGGTATTAAGCTACAGTTACACACCTTGGTAGCTTACTGGAAAATTCATCTTTCATTGGCTTTCTTCCCTTCCTTTTCTTGCTTAACCAACACCCTGATTTTTTCTGGGATAGTATCTCAGATCACTTGTACTATCTAGAATCCTTGCCTCAGGATTCTTGTCTGCTTTGGGAGGAACCAAAAGCACAGTAGTGTCCTATTTCTTTCTTCAAAGATGAAATTCAGTTGGATTTATACCCAAATGTCAAAATTAAAATTTAATGTAGAAGAAATTCATGGAGGAGAATATCCCTGTAGCCCCGGGACAAGCACAAAATCGTTATATAAAACATCAGAAAGTTCAACTTGACTACAACAAAATTAAAGATTACTATTTACAATGGACACAATAAACTAAGTTTGTGATGGTAACTGACCAGGAGAAAATATGTACAATGTTTAAAGTTGAAAACTGATCGATATCTAAATGTAAAAAGAATTTCTAAAAAATAAGAATGTTTAGTAGAAAAATGGCCAAACAGGGTGACTAGGCAGTTCAGAGAAAAGTAAAACCAAATAGCTAAAAAAAAAAAAAAAAAAAAAAAAAAAGATGCTCTTCCACACTGCTTATCAGAGAAATAGAAATGAAAAACAGCGAGGTGTTGTCTCTATAATCGTGATCATAGTTCAAAAATTACAGATATTGATAATACTCTTTGAGAGGTTGCAGGAAACTGTGGCCCTCAAACACTACTCACTTGAGAAAACACAATTGTAATCATTCTGGTAACTAATTGACAGGACCTATGAAACTAATTTTGTGTGACTTATGGCCCTTCAAACAAAATTCTGCATATATGGCAGTTTCTTACAAAACCAAACATACTCTTACCATATGATCCAGCAATTACACTACTTGGTATTTACTCAAAGGATTTGAAAACTGTTTCTACACAAAAACCTGCACAGAGATGTTGATATCAGGCTTTATTCCTAATTGACAAAACTTGGAAGCAACCAAGATGTCCTTTAGTAGGCAAATGGTTAAACTGTGGAATATTAGTGCTATAAAAGAAATTAGCTATAAAGCCATGAAAAGACATGGAGGAAACAATGCATACTACTAAGTGAAAGAAGCCAGTCTGAAAGGTTAATTACTGTATGATTCCAAGTATATAACGTTCTGGAAAAGGCAAAACCATAGAGAGAGTAAAAAGATCAGTGGTTGATATGAGATGGGGTAGACAGGGATGAATAGGCAGAGCAAAAAGGGTTTTTTGTTGTTGTTGTTGTTTTTTAGGGCAGTGAAACTAATATGTAATATACTATAATGGTAGATACAAGTTATCATAAATTTGCCCAAACCCATAGAATGTATAACATCAAGAGTGAACCCTTATGTAAATTATGGATTCTTGGTGATCATGATGTATCTATGTAGATTTATCAATTGTAACAAACGTACTATTCTGGTGGGGGATGTTGATAATGGGGGAGGTTAGGCATGTGTGGAGTGCGAGCTACATGGGTTATCTCTGTACTTTCCCCTAATTTTGATGTACACCTAAAACTGCTCTAAAAATAGTCTTTTAAAAAGTCTGCATAGGGACTTCCCTGGTGGCACAGTGGTTAAGAATCACCTGCCAGGGGCTTCCCTGGTGGCGCAGTGGTTGAGAGTCCGCCTGCCGATGCAGGGGACACGGGTTCGTACCACGGTCCGGGAAGATCCCACGTGCCGCAGAGTGGCTGGGCCCATGAGCCATGGCCGCTGAGCCTGCGCGTCTAAAGCCTGTGCTCCGCAACGGGAGAGGCCACAACAGTGAGAGGCCCGCGTACCACACACACAAAAAAGAATCACCTGCCAATGCAGGGGACACAGGTTTGATCCTTGGTCTGGGAAGATCCCACATGCCGTGGAGCTACTAAGCCTGTGCGCCACAACTACTGAGCCTGTGCGCCACAACTACTGAATCCTGCACACCTAGAGTTCGTGTTCCGCGACAAGAGAAGCCACCGCAATGAGAAGCACGTGCACCGCAATGAAGAGTAGCCCCCACTCTCCTCAACTAAAGCCCGCACGCAGCAACGAAGCCCCAACGCAGCCAAAAATAAATAAATTTATTTTTTAAAAGTCTGCATATATGATCTAGAGAATATCTTGCTCAGTTATAAAAAAATCCTAATTTAAATAGCATCAAACTGCAAATATTTGACCTAAAAATGGTGATTGCCCAGAATGTTCACCACTCTGAAGTTTTGATAATGTAGAGCACAGTAACACACATATCACTAGGGGAATAGTTCGGTAAAAGGTTGTAGATAACAGTATTGTTTAGTGGTTAGAAACAACAAAGTAGATATACATTCAACACCAGAGGTAGAACTTTAAAACATAGTGCTGAATGAATATGTAAAAGAATGAGCTATAACACAATAAGTTATATAAATTAAAAACATACACAGCTCTGTACTCATCAAAGATACATAAACACATCCTTATCCAGGGGCAATATTAACCTGGTAAAGTGTTAACTGGCCTGTGAGGAAGAGAATGGGCATGGAGACTAGGAATAAAGGAAGAAAGTATTAAAAAATTCATGCCTAGTAAAATGGGAAATTTGTGGACATAGGCCATCAGGATAGTGTGCCAGGAACTGAAGACTCTCAGTAAGGCAAATCTCTGAATCTAGGGTCAAAATAAAAATAGAAAGGATATTTCCCACCTATTACTCTGTGAAGATTAATTTAGAAAATGTTTAAAGAGCTTAGTATATAGTGAATATTAAATAAGTGATAACTATTATGATAAGTATTGTCGTTATTAATATAGCTGGTGTGCTTTTTTACTATTTAATGGGCATTTTCACCAATGCAGTTTTTCTCCACAAGTTCCTCTAAAATGAAGTACCACACAAAATAGTTAATATAAAGCTCTGATTTACTTTTAGATACATGATGTGAAACTGAGAGGACTGAGAGGGAGGGAAGTTGGAACAAATTCACGTTTTTTAATGAAATAGGAGTTAATCTTCATTAGTGGTTTTGTTTGTTTGTTTTAAATATCTTCAGACGCATTTGAAAGCTGGAAGGTAGACAATGTGGCACAATCGTATTGGATTTCACTCTGGAGTTTGAGTCTAGGTAATAAGTTGAGGAATGAACAGCTTTGTAAATTCAATCCATAATCAAAGCTGATTTGCTGCAGGTTGATTTTCAGAAAAGCAAAACCTGCAGTCTTACCACAGTCAAAAATAACATGATGAGGCAATTCTGTCTGATGGGATCCATGCTGGATGAAATCCCAGATAATACAATGCATTTGTATTATCCCAGATAACAGTATATTTCCCAAAGCAGAGAGCTTGGCTCATTGTGCAAAACAATTGCTGGATCGGTGGCTCTTGTTCAGAAGCCCTGCCAGCTCTGATTTTCGGAGGCCGTCTGCTGAGGACAGAAAACAAACTCCTCCCAAATGTCAGGCAAGGCAGCAGCAACAGTGACCTCTTCTGCCTCTCCCAGTCTCATTTCCCATGTGCAAGCCTGTGTTTGCTTTTTCTAGGACAATTACTATCTATGTACACTTTATCCCTCCTCGTCCCGTAGGTTCTTCCATAGGCATTTCCCAGTGTTCAGTGATTACTTTGGTTGTACCTCACACCTTTACTGAATAGAACACCAAGCACTGAACAGGGTGCATACTTATATTTTATAAACGACTTCAATAAAATCAGTCAGGAAGAAGGTGGAGTTGAAGAAAGGGAAATATTAAAGAAATGAAGAATAAAAAGGATTTAGCATCTTTGGAGTGGCAATTCTACGTTGTAAAGCACACAGGATTTAATTTTAGAGACACAAATTGGAATCTTGCCTTTACTGCTTTCTTCCTAGTTGACCTTACATAATTAACTTAAAATCTCTACATCTCAGTTTACTCAGCTGTAAAATTGTGCCCAACGCTGCTAAAATAATAAAAGTAAATGACATTACCTATGCAAACTGAGTATCATAACATCTAGCACAAAAGAGAATCAAATATAATTATGAACTAAAATGAACAAATATCACTAATTATATGTAATATACTAGTTTGTTTAGTAATAAATAGTAAAATAACTACAACATCATTACTACCTCTTGGTTACTGTAATTAAGCTACACTTTCTCCCAAGGCATAGTTAACAATTCTTCCCCCAATATATTACCTGGCTTTTTGGCCCAGTATTTGTCAAGGAGTATCTTTAAGTGGCTATGAATTCGTTAAGATGCCATTAATATGGAATTTATTCTCAATTCCATGACCCACTGTTGGTCTGTTTGCCCTCAGTTTTCAATAATTCTAGGCAAATTAACTAGGAAGAAAGAGGTATTCTCTGGTTCTCCACTGAGTCAGTCCTGATCGTGGCTTAGTCAAAGAAATAGTAAACAGCCTTTGATTCATTCTACAAATTACTAATGGACCTACTATGTTAGGCACACCTTGTGGCCCTTCCTAAATAACCTCACACTCACGTGGGTCAAGAGTATGGCAAATTAATAATTACAGGATAACAAAATTAAAATATGTATAAAGAGCTATAGAATCCTAAAGGGAATGGTAGGCTATTTGGGGAACATAGAGAACGTTTCATAACCTATGACATTCAAGATTAGAGAAGGTGGACATTTTTACAAAGATGACAAAAAGATGAAAAGAATTATGGTCAGAGAGGGAGACATGAGATCATTAGAGCAGCATGAATAAAGAATAAAGAATAAAACAGACACGAGCATTATGAAGTACTCTGGACTAAGTTCTCTTATTTTACCAGTCTCATCCCCCATCAAGTAGCCATTAATTGCATCCACTTCCCTCACTGAATTTATATATTACTGTAAGAGATTTGAGTTGCAGTTTATAAGTTGGCATAGTAATACATTTTGTGGACATTTATGTAAATAAGTATTGATTTTCATTTTCATATTTCTTATCTCCATAGTCAATAGTTTGACATCTCAGAATTTTTCTACTTCTGGACAACTCAGTAGTCCTTTAATATTGTACTTAGACTGAGTAGTAGACTAAAGTATCCCTGCACATGTGAAATAATGAGTAGTGCGGAGTGTGATTAAGTGTTAGGAGTTGTGGAAGGAAATGTAAACAGAAACCTTAAAAAGGAGGTCGGGTTAAAAAATGAATGGCATAATAAAGTATTAAAGAAATAAGGCAAATGGAAAATGTTTTTAGGGCCATGAAATACATAAAGAATGGCTTTGGATATAAGGTAGATGGATTGATAACATGGAAGAATGACTAGAGTATAAAAGAGCACTTGAGAGATAAATGTAAGAATCTAAGAAATATTTCATGATTGCTGAACTACTTCAACATCTATAAGGATAAAAAAAATCATTAGATCCAGAGTAATGTGAGACTCCAAATTTTCACTATCGTTCGAGCAAATTTCAACTCTATCTACTTTGGGAATAAATGTTGCTATATATACGTGTTTAAATTTTCTTTCCTCAGGTAAAACTAGATTCCTGCTGAAAGATTTAGTCAATAATAATAAAACACACACACAACAGACTTAACTGGGCTAGTGAAGCCCATAATTAAAATGCAAAATCCTAGTTACCCTGAAGCTGCAGGAGATGGATCCATACATTATAAATGATGACCGTCAGGTAGAATGTGTATCATTAATCGATAACTAAACCTTTATGAAAAAAAAGTTTAGGTTGCTAAACGCATTCAGTATATGTTTTTTAACACCCTTATAGTTATAATTCTAACACATCACAAGTTTAAAAATATTTACTAATTTGATCGATGCTATGGTCTGAATGCTTTTGTCCCCTCAGATTCTTATGTTGAAATCCTAACCCCAGGTGATGGTATTAGAAGGTAGGGCCTTGGGAAGGTGATTAGCTCATGAGGCTGGAGCCCTCATGAATCGGATTACTGCTCTTATAAAAAAGATCCCACAGAGCTCTATAGTTCCTTCCACCATGTATGGATTCAAGAAGTCTGCAACCTAGAGAAGGACCCTCGTTCAATCACACTGGCACCCTGGTCTCTGACTTCCGGACTCCAGAATTGTGATAAATAAATTTCCACTGTTTA